AGGCGTAGCATCTGATGGAGACACATTAGCTTATCGTTCTGCACGAAAACCATTGCGAGTCTGTGTCTGGAACATACCTGTGTAACGTAGTTGGGCTCGAGGCGCATGAGACAGCCAAACTTGCCGCCCTCCGACGTGTGCAGCACACTGGCGCCCACAAAGTTCTTGGAATTGGGGTCCACGCCCTCGAGCACCCGCCATCGAAACCCTTCGACCGTCTTCTTGACGAACGTGTGGTTCATCTCCTTGCCTGCGTACTTGCTTGCCGCGTTCAGACCGACGACCTGCTGCGCCTCCCGCGCGCCGCCGCCAATCTGCTTCCACCGCTTGAAGAAGTCCTCCGCCGACAGGTCCGCAGGGTCCATAAACTTGTGCGCCGCGACCGGCAGCTTCAGCGTCAACGCCTGCAGGGCGCCAGCGAGGTAACTGATGCGGATCGTCGGGCTCTTCTCGAAAACCTGCTTGGACTCAAACATGATGACCTGCTGTGACTGGGCGCCCTGCGCGATCGAGCTGTCCGGCATGCCCTTAATGTCCCACGTCAGCTTCCCCTTCTCGCTCTCGTCCAGATCCAGTGTTGTCGTGAATGAGTTGATCGTCGCTGGCGTGTTGTTGGAGAAGTAGAGAATCAGACAAGCCATTTGACCCCTGTACTCCGACCGGACGCCCACCTGGATCTGGCCGTCCTCGAAGAGCACACCTTCAGACCGCAGCAGCAGCTTGTTGTAGCCCTGCTGCCAGCCAGGCGACAGATGGGCCGCGCTGGCCAGGTTCAGCGGCTTCGTCTTGGGCTCGGCAGGACCAATGTTGTTCATGTCGAGGCCTGCCAAGTCGCTCGCGCTGGACTTGCCGTTGGCCCCATTGGCGTGCCCGTTGAGGTTGGAGCTAAAGGTTCTCTTGAGGGCCGCGTTCTTCGCCATGGCCAGCTCTGACGCGTCTGCATTTGCATGCTTACCACCCACAACCCAAGTCCTCTTATCACTTGTGTTGGCGTGCTTCTGATGCAGTCTCGACAGGAGCGCCGACTGCCGCTCGGAGAACGGCGGCATCTC